GACCCTTCTTCACCCTACTCATGGCTCTCTTATCCCTTGTTGAGAAGGTCTATATCCCCAAGGGTCCCCTTAATCCTAACTCCTACAATATCGGGGGGAAGCTACCCTAAACCCTGAACCCTAAACCCTAAACCCTAAACTAAACCCTAAACCCCAAACCCTAAACCATCCTTAATGGGTCTCAAAAGTCCCTTGTTATATGTGTGCTAGAGCAGAAGGCCCCAGGACCCTGTTTCTGGCGATGTTTTGGGTTTAGGGTTTAGGGTTTAGGGGTTTAGGGTTTAGGGGTTTAGGGTTTAGGGTACCCCCTTAGATAGTTGGTTTAGAAACCCCACCACAGCTACATGGAGGAGGGTACTTGGAGGAACTCGGGTTATAAATAAGGGTCGCTACAGATATAGTTTCCTATAACCTCAATTACGGTAACTGTCCCCTGACTTAGTGAGTCCCCTTAAACCCTAAAACGCTTTAGAACTCTTATCGTATCTGCATAGAAACCCTAAGTCCCAACAAGATCCTCCACGTAGTGCAGCTCTGAAGGACACTGTACTTCATCAAGTGGTTGGGGTGGAAGTTACACAAGCTGGGCGAGACTACAATATAGCAGAAAATAATATGGTACAATATAATTGAACATGTTACAACAGAGCGCAATAGAGTTGAAAGTGTGCCGTCTTCTCATGTTCCTCACTTGTGATTCCACCGTACTCCCAGTGCCTTGTCTTCAAGAACGTGAGTGGGGAACTAAACCTTAACCCCTTAAACCCCACAAGAAATAAAACCCTAAACCCTGATTTGCCGCTGCTGCTTTGAGAGGCCCCACCTGTAGTTTTCTTTACTTAGTGTTATCATACCCTAAACCCTAAACCCTAAACCCTAAACCCTTTTTTCCCCCCAGGAGATGCACAAGAAGAACCTGGCCAAAGCGTCGCCAGCCTCTCCTGCGAAGTGCCTTGGCACGTTCGAGTTTTCTGGCTGCTGGGTTCCTTTCTGAGGATAGGGGCTGTCATGTCCTAGGTGGGAGTTTCCGAAAATAGGGTACCTTAGTTTTGGGTCCTTATATTAAAGATCCTACTATTTAGGGCTGCTATATTAGGGTCCCCAATTTTCGGAAACCCCCAGATAGTATTGGGGAGACCCCTTAAACGGGACCCTTCGTAACCCTACTTCTGGCTCTCTCAAAAGGGACCTTATTGAGAGGGTCTACATCCCTGAGGGTCCCCCAAATCCTAACTCCTACTGTTGATGATATAAACCCTGCATTACCTTAAGGGCACCCTAAACTATGGGAATTATGGTATGTTCCTTGTCATGGGTAAGGCAGGAGTTATATCATCAACTGTAGTTATAGAATTATGACCTAATATAGTACCCCAAATAATAGGACCCTTATTATAAGGATCCCAAGATAAAGTGCCCTAATTTTCGGAAACTCCCCTTGTGTGAGGGTTCATGTTTTGGGGGATCGCAGGGTTCCTTTAAAAATCATCCGACGTCTCAAGCCCAACGCCTGGAGCCCAGGATCTTTAACCTTTGATGTAGGGGCCTCAATGATGAGAATAGGGTTTGGGGTATATTATACTATAATTACAGTAAGGAACCCTCAAAACCCTATTCTAATTATTAAGGCCCCTACACTAAACCCGAAGGGATTTGTCACCGTCAGAACATCTTTCTGTAGTTTGCGCTGCCGCTGCATCGGAACGTAGGTTCTTTGCGTTGCACTCGTGACCAAAACCCTAAACCCTAAACCCTAAACCCTAAACCGCTAAACTCAAACACCAAACCCCTGAGGCCTGAACTTGGGGTTCAGGGTTTAGGGTTTAGGGTTTAGGGCTCGGACCCTGGACAAGTAAAACAAAAAGCCTGTGCGGAGGATGTCCGATGCGGAAGCTGTTGCTGCAGCCGTGGCGGCCGCTAGGAGTGCCATGGATGCGGCCCAGGCTCATGGGTAGTTCTCTAAATTAGGGTTTTTTGAGGGGGTCCTTTTTATAAGGGTGCCGTACTATATTGGGGACCCCCAACAAACGGACCTTGATTTAGAGAACTACCCTCATGCGTGCACCTGAGGGACGTCACAGCGAGAGGGTTTATCAGGCTTCACATGGGCCCGTAGGAACTAATGCTCGGTTTTAAAACAAGATGCGGGTTCAGAGATCTGCTTGTGTTGGTTGTTTGAGTTTTGGGGTCGTGGCTTCTCCTCTAGAGATCTCCGAAATTTACTTTAGTTACCTTTTACGTCGAATGGAGCATTTACAACGGCTTGAAAGGGGTCAGGGCCGTTTCAGGGCTCAGTGGACTTAACAGGGTCCTCTTCGAAAGGTTTCCCTCGGAATGTTATTTGGTGCCAAGGGGGGGGTTAATTAGTCCCGGGGAAATAGTGGCGGGAGTAGTACTAGTTACCAGTACTAGAATTAGCAATAGTAGTAGTAGTAGTAGTAGTAGTAGTAGTAGTAGTAGGTGCCCTCCCTACCAACCACCTCTTCTAAAAACTGTTTAAGAGGACAGCCGTCCCACTCGGTATTTACAGTAATTACTTTCGTGATGTCGTGCAATACCAACCACCGCAGTTGAGAGGTGGAGTGGGGCACGATGACATATTTGTTAAGAGCACATCCATTTTGCTCAGTGTTTGCAGTACTTTGGTGATGTCGTGCATTGTGCCGGGAATTTAGAGCATTTATTTTGTGGAGTCAATTTGGCAATCTTTTTCAGCTTGCAATCTTGGTCACAACGAAAGATTGCCAGCAATTTTGCTAATCTTGCAACCTTGGTCATCTTGCCCCACTTGCCCCACTTGCTCGCCGATTAGTTTACCCCTTCAGACCAAGATTGACCGAGCTTGCGTGCAATCTTGCCCCAAATGAGACAAGTGGGGCAAGATTGCAAGATTGCTTGGC